CCATTAAACTCTCCTATGAATTCGATATCCAAACACACAAACGCTAAATATGTAAAACCTTCAGCAGTATTGAAAGACGATAGATCTGGGGCTGGCATACATCCATGCTACAAAAAAAAGGTAAATTTTAAAAAAATGTTTGACTTTAAAAGAACACTTACAAAATATTTTTCATACCGTCTTAGATAACCCTGGGAAATTGCTTTTATGGGGTCCTTGATAAAACAAAATGCTGTTCTACGTAGACACTTTAACAAATTCCTTAGCCATGATATCAAAGATGAAAATCCTCTAATTCCTGGTGGTGTACAAGGGATCATTTCACTATTACTCCAAAAGTTTTTTGCACTAATAAAAATATCTCCTGTCTGCATATTCATAATATAGAGTTTTGAATTATTGAGTGAACTACCAAACGGGATCATGTGTCTTCCTAAGGCAATAGGCATTTCACGTAACTTTAATGCTAATGAACAAATTTCTCCAAGATGCAAAAACTTTGAGCAGACAAATGTATTATTCGTCCAATAACATCCAATCAGTCCTCTATACTCCTGTATTTCAAGACCCTCAGCCATATCATGGCTTCCTTGTCCATTCATTGACAATAGAAAACACCTCAGTGTCTGATGTAAAGGCACTCCCAATACCAATTCGACATCATCTAACACATGATTTGGCATCCTCCCTAATATTGATGAGAAAAACTCAGGTACATTCAGATGTATAAATGATTTGAATTGAATGACAATACTTCTTGTCTGCTTTACAATGTTAAAGTTGTATCTTTTAAATACCATATACCAGCTTTTGTAAGTTTCCTATAGACAAGAAAATAAGGAAATACAGTTAGATTTGAGAAAACAAGAGTAGAAAAAATATATATATACTCTGAATGTTTGACATGTTGCACTTTCAAATGTAATACGTGAGCACACCACGAAATCATTCTGACAGTGTTTTTTCCAAATTCTTTCATCGTTACACCTTCTGTGAAACTCTCTAGACACACAGGAGAAAATGGCACTGTGATAGCCACTGGAAAAAGCTATCTTGAATAATAATTCGTGTGGGAGGAAGGGAAGCTCCCTCATAACTGCAATTAGGTTTAGGGCAAGTCATGGATATGGAGATTATCTTGCGACCTTTTCATTTTTGTGAAAATGTTTGGATACAAGTAAGTGATGCTTTTGTTAACATTTTTTTGGAATAAGTTTTTTTTTTCACTCTTTTTTTTTTGTTTATTTGGAAGACTGCATCTGACTGGTTTGAAAGAGCAATCCAGTGCTCTTTTCCATGTACAAATGGTCACAAAATACTTTTTGTATTTGAAGAAGATAGTGAATTCATGTTTGAACTACTAAATACAAACTACACAAGCTATAAATTCAAGACTGATATGAAATGGCAAGAATTTTTGAGCATGCAGAGAGCAAGTGTAGGTGACATATGCCAGTTAAGATGTAAAGATGGACAAATTACTGCAAAACTAGACAAACACATGTAATAGACATGATTATTACCAAAAAGAATGTGTTTACGTTGCCATACAACAACACTATGTGTACAAAACGCTACAAAGCCTATGGCTGTGTCAAACAGTGAATCGTGTCCTCCTCCACAGCGATGTTCAACCAGAGCGATATGCAGGGCAAAATCTGTCTCAAGATAGTCCTCTGACAGGGAAAATGGGGCAAAGCTCAATCTTGAGGAGATGCAACACGTGGAGAAGTTTGATGCACAAGACAATCGAGAGACCCGGGCTGGATACTCCATCACTGGCTTGCAATTGCTCTCGAATGACGCAACCAACAATCTCTTTGGAATTTCTTTGAGTGAGTCAGAAGGAAGCAAACAAAGGTTTTAAAGTGAAGCAAATGTTTGATATCATCCAGTAAATGCAATGTACATCTTTTGTATGACTTTATAAATGTTTGGTCAGTAGACTGAAGCGATATTTATCCCAGGAAAGCAGTTACAGTTTAATATTTAAAAGGTTACAGTTTAACATTTGTATCTAGGTATTTGCTAGAAGACAAACCACCGTGCGGAGCCAAAGACTCTGTAAGTTTCTTACCAAATAAAAAATGAAAAAAAACATAAAACAAGGCAAGAAAAATAATAGTGACAGTTGCTGGTCTATGCTGACCAGTCACTTCTACTGATAGCCTGGTACCTATTGAGAAGATATCACAATCAAATTTGACTAACTATCGACTTAGAGATTAATGTAGGTTCTATTACAAGCAATGGCAGAAATTTGCAATGCAACCAGAACAGCAGAAATCTGGAAAGAAGCTTTGGCAAATATTCAAAGGAGAAAAACAGAGCGTGTTTATCATCGAGAATTCGTAATAAACGGAAAGTAATATACCTAGCTTTAAATGCACAACAAACTATCACATGTAACACTATGAAACAGGTTCTTTCCAAATGACAAACAAGCCCGACTACTAGATGTACTTGGATGCCCACCAAAAGAATTTATTTATGGCTTTGACGACATAGATGGAATTTCGAGAAAGATTAAAGAATATAAAGAAAAGATAAAACAGTTCAAGAAGATTAACAAAAAGAAACTGGTAGCCCCAGGTAAGCTTGGATCCAATTTAATTTTTTCTTTTTCAAGTAGAATAAATATATTTGTTTTTTGTTTTTGCATGCAGCACTTACGGTACTTACAGCTCATAGACTTAGTGGAAAGCTTTACAACAATCGGCTCCCACACAAAAAAGAAATTCAGAAAATCTTTGACAAAAAAACCAACGGAATTAATCCATATGTATTCTCGGCACTACATTATGGATTCGGTGTTCCATTTGATGTTTGCAAGGAATTTAGAGGAGATATGGCTCAGGAACTCCTCAACACTATGAATGACCTGCATCCTAAACGAGGCATCAAGCAGTGGAAACCAATACGTCTTGAAGGTATTGCTTTACAAGTTGATACTACATTTGCTGAGGACACGTTCGAATACAATCCATTCAAAGATGCGGAAGACCTTCTCGACATTTGCATTAAGAAGAACATGCTGTAGTCAAAGATCATGAAAATCAAAATATGATATTCTCACCAAAGTCTCAGTTTTAGATATCCTAGAGCAGGAATAGAAGAAGTACCTTCTTGTATTCTACTCTTACAGATCCCTCTTACTGTGTGGTTACCCTATGTACTCATCCAAATGTTTTTAAAATGTAACTCACAAAAAAACGAACAAACTGAGGCCAGTGCTCTTCACACTCAAATTGCTGAGCTATTCAGAATGAGTAGATGACATCTGAATTGACTCCTTTTTGAAGACTTTACAGATATCAAAAAAATTACTATTTCAAAAACTCTGATACCTAAGACTTAATAACCCTTAGCACCGTGTTGAAACTTGAAGTCCTTCTAATCAGCAACTTATTCCGGTTTATAAAGTTCTTTTAGATAAAAAAAAAGTTGTTTTAGTCTATACAAAAGCACTGTTTACAGTGTTTAGTTTTTGGACTTTGAGAAGCTAGAACTCTTCTCCTGTTGGTTCTGGTATTTCACAGATATAGCATGTCTGCTCTCAAGACAACAAACAAGCTTTGTGATGGCTTTTTGTGATGCCTTGCCTGCTCAAGCTCCAACGCATGTTGTTGGTCCCACACCTAAAGCGAGCAGTGGCCAATGCATCCCTGGAGCTTCCCTGGGAGCTTTGATGAAGATCCACTCCACTTTGAACTCCTTGTCCTTCACAATCAAATGAACAGAGGCGTCTGTGTTGTGTGCAGTGAAACATATATCTTGCAAACTATTTCTTGTTCTTGGCTACCTCCAAGCTCCAAGTTCCAGGAATCAAATGAATCCTGTTTGACACTTTTGATCCTCGTTCCTGTGTGCTTAGCTCTCCTTCCCATAAGGGCAGTCTTTTGTGACAGGACCTTTACCGTTTTCCTTTACCGCATGAAAGAACATAACTATACACACCTTAAACAAATGTTCTGGATATTTATTTCTCACTTATTTTTGGAACGATGCTTGTGCCATCTTAGCCGCTCTTGGTAAAGGAATTCTCGCCAACAGACAAGTTTCCAGAGAGTTTTTTGAAATCCAATTGAGTAGTCGGCAAAACTCTTGTTAACATGTATGGAAAGTGTGTAAACTCGAGCTTGTGAGGGATTTCTTCGAGAGAATGCAGGACACAGACGCGGGATCTTCGACTGCTTTCCCCTACACCCTACAGCCCTTGTCATTTCTTTCTTAAGTGACTCCACTGCTGTCACCATGACTCAAGAACTGCTGTTTGTCAAAGCCCAAGGCCGCACACAGATTGTTCACTGCATATGGATTACAAAGCTTATGATTTTCAAGTGAAACAATTTGAAAAAAAATGACTAATCACATTAAAAAATAGTTTTGTAGTATATTTGTGCATGTTATGCAAGAATCATACACTGTAAAATGCTGTCTATATATATATGCTGCCAAAGTCGTCCTTGCTCATCCTCTTGCTCAATGTATGATGCTGCTAGTACTGAAGCTTTTGTCCAAAAAGAATATTGCCACCTCTGTCCACTCAAAGAATTTGATGGCAAAATATAATTAGATGAATGAGAATATAACCCCCCAGGTATTACATTTAAAGATTTGATTAATTTCGTTGTTGCTACCATAGAAAAAATTATTAAAAAAACGTTGGAGAGCAAGCCTGTGACTGCCATCTCAAAGAATATTCAATGTCACTGCCTTAAACTGGCTGGCTAACAGTAAATAAAGCTAGATGCTTAGATAGAGGATTAGAATCGCCTGTCCCTGCTGTACTTCGTCCAAGCAATAAACAGTGTTGGATGTTTACCTACTTAACATCTAAAAATTTTATTTTATAATGGAACTGCAAGTTATTACTACAATCAACATAAAGTTTTTCTACAAAATCTAATGCTCCTTGCATAGCAATCCTATTTATCTAAAAGAAAAAAGAAAAAAAGACAGAAATTACTTAAATATTGAATCATTTCATTGAAGTTACCTCACACATCCAAGCCAACAATATAAAATTTCATCTTCTCGGAGTCCTGGTAGCTCTCAAGTTTACAACGAACCTTTAGAGTATAAACTTTTGAACGCACAGCATCCAAATGTGCTGAAAAAACGTCATAATTCTCATCACGCATAGATGCAAAGTCCTGTGCTGGTAAACCAACTAATTCTCGAGCAGCCTCTTGAAATGCAATTGCCCAAACGTACTGAGAGCTATCCTCGATACACACATGCAATGCATACTTATGGTCAACCTCCTGAATCTCTGAATCACATGAAATGCAAAACCAAACATCTTCACCTGCACTTGAGACTTTTTTGCCACATTGCCTGCCATTAACAACTCTTGTACAAGCTGGATAAGAAAAATTATCAATGCGAATGTCTCTGATGTTAGCAGTAATTCTGTAAGTGTCTGAACTCTCCATAACCTTGAGATTAAGTCCCATCATTTCAGATATTGTTGTTGTACGAACAGCTAAATTAGAGCCTGATGACCCAGTAACATGGATGAAACTGGTGGAATCTAATGTTACTGAATACCATGCACGTACACTAGCTACAATCTCTAGATCAACATCAAGTAAAACTGTTGAAGCTCCTATAACAGATATTGACCTCCCATTGTATTCAGATATCTTACCACCTTTTACACACAAGAACTGCTTCTCTCCTCTTTCAAACTTTTCATATATTTTTGACCCTTCCTCTTCAGCTTTGGAGTCCCAAAGACAAACATCAATACTCCTTCCTGATTCATCACCAAGACATAACGTCCTCCTCTTAATGAGAGTCCCAGAATCCTTGCATGTAACATTTGTCAGTCCAACCAATGTAACAACACCAACCACATCCACAAAAGTGTCTGGTTCCATCTCTGATACTTCCAATATAGTTTTCCTATCCAAAACAATCTTTGGAAATCCTACATCATCAGGTTGAATGTTGTACACCATGTTCTTACTTGCCAAAATCTCCCATTTTGACTTAAAAGGAGTATACTGACTTTTTGAAGGCTGTATGCCACCACTACCAGAAAATATGTAGACCTTATCCTGAATAATATCTGAATGTAACGATTTTGCAACCACACCAAAACTCACAACACGAATTTCTGAAGACTCGATGTCGACAACATCAAACGAGAAAACAAATTTGCCAGGACTATATTCTATAAGCCTTTCCTTGTGAGTCACTCTTCCACGGAAAGACCAAGCATATAAAGTATTAGTTATCTCTCTTATAAGGGACTCTTTCATCCCATGCCTCATAGAAGTTTCTCCCTGTAATAAATTGGATGTAACACAGTTAATACTTTGATGATGCAAACATGAACCTTTTGATTTCCATCACACATACGTTTTTTCATCTGAAAAAACAAACAAACACTTATATTTATAAACTCTTAAACAAATGAAAGCTACACTCACTCCTTTATACTCCTCTACAGCAATGGCTTTGTCAGGTATATGCTTCCAAGACCCACACTCCATGTAAAAAACGTCGGAAATTATCAAAGATCTGTAAAAACAAAGAATTAATAGTAACAGGAAAAAAAAAGAAAGAAATGAAGAACAAACATAAGCTTACTGTTTGTTGTCAATCTCACAAAATGCATAATCAATAAGTTTTATGAGGCTTTTTTCTCGGATAGCCCAAGAACTAATGGCATTTGCCATACGAAAGGATGCATATGCTTCCATAACTTCATTTCCATCAGTTACACAAATCTTTCCCGCAACAGAACCAGGTTTGGAATCCAATTTTGTAATCCTTAGCACAATTTCCTCATCTAGGTTGTCTCTGACCTTTTTCAACCCATCCACTGTGCACTCCATTCTTCAACATGAACTCAGAAACCTAATATGAACAAAACTATTTGTTATAACAAAACCAAGACTTCGAGAATAAAAACATGGAATAAGTTGACCTATAAGACGTGTGTGGTGAGCGAAGGACAACAAGCATGCCTTGATTCCATGGCGGCTAGAAGCATTGTGCCATGGAACTTGTTATAGATATTGAACAAGGAGAACTCTGACTCGAGAAACTTTCCCATGCTCAGCAGGCAATGAGCAATTCTCACCCTCAAGAAATTTGGCACTGGTTTGGGCGAATCCCATTTCCAGAAGAATTGAAACAGCTCATCGCTGCTGATCCAAAAACAGCTTTTCAATAATAAGCAGCAGCACCACCATCACAAGGAACACTCAGCAATGCCACCATCGCTAAAATCCCACCAAGGCAAAAGTAAAACCTGACAGGAGGAGGGCGAGACTGGGAATGGCAAAATCCCGTGCTCTTGTTGCAGCAGTTTGAAGGTAGGGAACTTTGTTCTTCGTGCCAACTGAGAGTTCTAAGCAAGTTTCTTCTTCTTTTTCTCTTTGTGTTTTGGCAGTACACTCATCTAAGTGCGTCTATTGCTGGTGCAAAGAAAGAAAAAATAACAACTGTGAGAATTATCAGCAGATAACATCATCTACACTAAAATTACAATTTGCATGCCTTTCTCATGTTTGCTGAGTTCAAACATCCTTTATTAGGTAGAACTCCATTCCTGAGAGTTATTACACAACACTTCAGAACTTAACGAGACAATTTGGCAAGGAAGTCTCTAAAATCCATTCTATTTTCATTGTGGATTTAAATTTTCGTAGCATTGGAGCTGCAAACACAGATTGAAATCAAAGCTTTAAGCCTCAGTAGCGCTCTATAGAATAAACACGCTATGCTACACTAAAGATTCAATGTGAAGCTGAGGACTTATACCTCATTGTTGGGTCCTTGTTATGCTATGAATTCTCTTTTTATTTCTAAAAGCTCGAGTTCTGTAAACACAGTGTTTTTCATCTTTTAACAGCAAAGGACATCTGAGTCCCAAACCGTCTAAAAACCTATATCAATCAAATATCCAGTCAAGTGAGAGAAGTAAAGAACGTTTTTAAACTCAAAACATAAGGACAACCAAAAAAGCCTGCTAAATTTTATTTTTCAGTTTGAAAACATTCTCTACTTCTCCCAGCGGAGCTGGGATCCCTGCTAGTATTTATTAAATTACAGTAATTTATGTACTTGTACTAAATATATACATTTTAATTATTTTAAGATTTTGAAGTTTTCTCATCAAAAAAGAGGTTTTGTATAAATATCTATATAAAGATTTAATAAATTATAAATTAATTAATCACTCTTATAGAACCCATATAAAAGAATATTAAGTAAAAATATTTTTAAAGTAATAAATATATTTATTATCATAAAATATATATATTCAAATTCACAAAAATAAAATAGTTTTCAATTTAAATGCTTTATGCACAATCCTTTATAAGAGTAGAGATGATATATGAATCTAAAAAAAAAATAAAGTTATTTAAAATTTTATAAATTAGTTTATTAGTTTAAATTTAATAATTTTTTTCTTATAATGTTTAATTTATAATAGCTTATAACTGACTTCCATCTAGCAAGTTAAGTAATCAGAAACAATAATGACATACTTATTGTCAGTAGTCAACCATGGAAAATGCCTTATTAGATCAAACACCACCAATTCAAACGGATGGGAAATTGTAATTAACTTTAACTGTCCTTTCATAGTATAAAGAGGAGTATTACGAGCTTGGCACCAAACACAATTATGCACATACCGGATAACATCATCTTGCATCTCCGATCAATAGAAAGATTTGCCCAACTTCTTGATCACACGACAATGTCCCATATAGCCACTTAGAATAGGAGAATCATAGTAAATATAAAGAAAGCATAGAATAAAAATTGAAATCACCATCAATCATAAATGATCATCAGAATTCGTCCCAACAAAATAAAGAAGACCATCCTCAAGGTGATATTGAGAATGTAAATGTTAAAATGGCAAGTCATCAACAAGTGATGAAAGATTCTTAAACCCATCACGAAACTTTTGAATCCATGGCTCAATCTTTTGAACTTCACAAACTTCATTAAGGGAAAGTAAATTTTTCTTTACACTTTATGGATATTAAACATCACATACAACAGTTGCCGACAGCACAAAATCCTCATCCAAAAACTCCATAAATACTAGAATAACAAACTTGTCAAAACCATAAAAAGAGAGTTAAGAAAGAAGAAGAGCTTGAGAAAGGGCATCAGCATCAACCATAGAACTCCCTAAGTGATAAACAACATCAAAATCATATATCTAAAACTTTAAAGGCCACTAAGAAATACGACCAACGAAGTTCTTTTGCTTTAATAACGAAGTAACTACAACATAATCACCTTTAATAATGTTTGAGAACCATGTGGATATATATAAAGTTTCTCAAAACCCCAAATAAATATTAAACACTCCTTCTCTATTATGGAGTAGTTCATCTCCACTGGTTGTAATGTATGGCTGATATATGCAACGGGATGGCACTGATTAAGCACACTTGAGCTCTCTTGCATCAACACAATTCCAAAACTGATATAAAAAACATCCACGTGCAAAGTGAAAGGCCAAGTGTAATTAGGATATGCCAAAACTGGAGGAGTTGTCAATAGTTCTTTGAGATCCGTAAACATCTACTCACAGTCCATAGATTATATGAAAGATGATGTTGATGACTTCAGCAACATTTGCAATGGTGTAGTGCAATAAAAAAAATAATCAATAAAACAACTAAGATATTGCACCTTGCTTAAGAAGTGCTACACATCATTCACACACTTTGGAGTAAAAAAATTTAAAATAGTCACAAGTTTGTCAAGATCAACTTGCAAATTTTTATGTGAAATATAGTACCCAAGATAGGTCATGCCCTTGGACTTAAATATGCACTTTGACTGTTTAAGCTTTAAATTGACTTCCCGTAGTTGATCTAACACCTTACAAACATCACAAATGTGTTCCTCCAATGTCCCCTCTAAGTGGATTAAAACATTATTGATAAAGTCAGTAGTCACTTCCGACATATCACAAAGAACTTCGTTCATCATTCATTGGAAAGTGACTAATATATTGTTGTAAGCAACCAAAAGGAATGACTCGAGAGACAATCCATAGGGGTTTAAATATAAAGGGAAAGGGCACATGAATAAAAGTGCACCCCCCCTTCCAATCGGTTAAGGGTCTTGGGATATTTGGGGTTAAGCGTTCTTGGGTTTGAATAATATTGGGTTGGGTGACCTCCCAGAAAGTTTAAATTCAGGATCTTACAATTATTCAAACCAAATGGCATCACCAAGAACTTGTACAAACCACATAATGTACGAAAAACAATCTTAGAAATATCTTTTTCAGCTATTGGCACTTGCTAATACCCAAAAGCAAGATCTAACTTGGTGAACCAATGACTTCTCCCTAGACAATCTATAAGATCAGTAGTATGAGGGAGAAGGTACACATCCAAAATCATCACTTCATTTAACAAATGATAGTCAATGCAGAAATGAATACTCCTATCAAGCTTCTTCAATTTTGATTTCTTTTGGTAACCGACGATGAATAGAAACATAGATTGGACAAGCATCCCCAATTGGAATGGGATAATATATTGCAATCTTGGCCTTAGATGACAGGTCAAATTCAAAGAGGTCAACATACTTATAAATTGGTCAACCACTACAACACAAAAATCGTCAAAGGGATCGGAAGAGGGAATAAAGGAATAAGACAGAAACAAAAAAGGAAGTAATAGGGAGTCAAATATGATGGAAGTAGAAGTAAACATAAAGGGACAAAAAGGAATAAAAATAAGAGGAATGAAAAAATCTAAAGAAGTATAAAACAAGGGAGAGAAACCTCAAAGTCACATTTGGCATGATTGCATTGCAACCAATTCATACCAAGAATGAGGTCAAAAGCTTGACTCAGCACCACCCATAACAACTGCAACTTAAGCTCGAGATCGCCTACACACACAATTAGGTCTGCCTCATCCCGTGCATATGCATGTGTACAGTCATTACTATAAATAATGAAAATTAGCTCTGCAACACAACGCAAATATAGACGGCAACATGTGGAAACATGCCGAGCAATAGAAGATAAACTCAAGCCTATACCAACTAACACAAAAAGAATAAAAGGAGATCTCTTGTTATAAAATAAACTTGAAAAATAAACACTAGATGAACTGGTGCTGAGTGAACCCCTTGATGATACTCCCAAATGAAATATGGAAGGGTCATTAACTTATTCATGCAAGAACCCTCCACTATTCACACAACTCCTTGTTTCCTATAAGCATCTTAGTGTCTAGACTTTCCACTACAATAACACCAACAGGATGTTATTGACACTAAAGTCTCCACCCAAGAAATAGAGGTTGTCAATCTGGAAAATGTTGATAATGCCGATAAGTGTGACTAACTTCATCACATGCCTAATAGCGGACTGTAAGGAACCGACTCCCCGAGATGTCGTAGGTTAAAGGATCCCCGAAAGCTTGACCGAAATGACAAAAAGTTCATCGGATGGGACCGAGTTGAAGATCAAGTCCAAGACCGACTCTGAGACCGAGTTCGAGATAGAGTCGGGATCGAGCCGAGGCCGAATCGGAGACCGAGATTGAGACCGAGTTCGAGACGGAGTCTGAGATCCAAATCGGGTCCGAGACTGAGTCCGAGGTCGAGTCCAAAGTCGAGTCTGAGATCGGGTCCGAGATCGAGTCCGAGATCGAGTCCGAGACCAAATCCGAAGTCGGGTCCGAGATCGAGTCCGAGATCGAATCTGAGACTAAGTCCAAATACTAATACGGGTCAAGGGGTGAAAGCCCAAAGCGTGCATCTCCCAAGGGGGGGGGGGGGGGGGGGCTGCGGGGGGTTCCAAAAGTATAGTAGGGATAGTGAGGTCTAGGAACCA